GCGCCATCTTGACAATCTTGGACTCTGGCGTTTCCGCCCTTGGCAACGGCCCTTTGTAAAACCGACAAGACATCCACACGTCCATCCCATAATCTGACGGGCAAGTTCCGGACATGATAGTCCATGGCGTGGAAAACACATTGGACCGGATCGTCTTGATCATCATCATCTTGATCTTGTTTCCCATGCTCGACATCTGCTTTCCGTTCAGCCTGCTGTCAGCCAGTGCTTCACTTGCGAGGAGGAAAGAACAGGGTCAGACAGTGCGTTTCCATGCGAGGAAGAAAGAACAGGGTCAGACAGTGCGTTTACATGCGATGCGAGAGGAAAGCCGCCAGCCAGTGCGTTTACATGCAAGGACAAAAGAACAAGAAACAAGGACTCGCAGGATTATGGTGAGGGTCAGAATCGAATACCCAAGTGGTATCACTTTTGAACCATGTGACATTGCCGACTTGTTCTTCTTCTTCTGACGTTTTGAAACCGAAACTTTGATCATGGTCAAGTCTTGCCGCTTCTTCTTCGAAACCTTGATCATGGTAGAGTCTTTCCGCTTCTTCTTCCACGACGAGCTCGGTTTGGCGTTCCAAGCTTGCGAAGAAAGCCGAGTGGATGCGAGGGGGTCCGACGAGCTCTGCTTCTCGTTCCAAGCTTGCGGATAAAGGGGGTTTCTGGGACGCGACACCCAGATCAGGACGAGCGAGGTCCGAGACCTTGTTCGACTGGATATCACGTCGTCTCCTCTCCTCTTCCACTTTGATCTTGAGCAGATGGTCCAGCTTGGTTTCGAGGCTTGGAGAAATGATGATCTTGGTCGGACCGATCTGGAACTTGTCCTCCGAGGCGGTACACAGTCTCCCTAGGGTCGAACCGATACGGGACGTGTCATCGTCGAGCGTCCGACTGGGAGTGTGAGTGTGGGTGGTAGTGATAGAGTGAGTATCAAAAGGTCCCAACGTCACATCCACGTCGGCGTCTAGGACAGGTCGATACCTTTGATAGAACGTCGATTTGTCATGAATGACAGTAGGATACCTTCTGGAAACCTCGAGGACGTTTGTGATCCCGGCCGATGTCAATTGTCGAATGACTTGATCCTCATCCAAGGTTTCGCTTCCTCGTTCGGTCCTATCGTCGACGACAACTCGCACGACCGGTCGTATACAAGCTATATGAACCAATTTCGTCTTTTCCAACTCGTTCATCAACCTGGTCAAAGATTGTCTTTGTCGGCTCACGACAGAAGTCCGACTGCTCGTCACCCTCCTCACGCTTTCACCGCCATCGTTCAGAATCAAGATGGATCTCAACAGTTCCGACCTGGTGTTTTCGATCATCCAATCTTCAAGTTGACTCTCGACCGTTTCCGAGTTTTTCGAGACCCAATGTTCGAGGTCATATTCGACTTTACCCGCGTAATGGTTGATGGTCATGGGTGATCTCCGCCGATGTGTGATCTTGTCAAAGCTGATGATACCTTGGCTTTGAGTGGCCAACGTTTGTAGACCGTGGGTCAATGAATCGTCGTCTTTTTGACGGTCCGAAGGTCGGATGTCGTTCAGACAAGCAGCGAAACTGTGGTTTCTTCCTTCGATCCATTCAAGACGAGGCGATCGGCCGGGGAGCATGGTAGAGTCGGACTCGCACCCTTGAGCGGAGAAAGTGTCAGACAGCTTTTTGAAGAAGTTGTCGTTGAGGGATTGTTGTAGTTTTTCGTTTGTCCAGTTGATGCAGAGTTGTTCGAGAGAGTTGTGACTCATGTTTTCGAATCTGTACTGTATGTCAGTGCCTCTTTTTCTCCACATCCGAGGTGACTTGACTTGTACACATCCGAGGTACCTTGACTCGCACACATCCGAAATAACTTGACTCGTACACATCACTCTAGTAGGGGAGGACGACGGATCAAGGGAAAATGTGACGGTGTGACGGAGACCGACGAGTTCGGTTCTGCTTCTGCTTCTGCTTCTGTCGGATCAAGGGCGGAGAGACAAACCGTTTCCACGTCATACGATGGGAAGTAAACAGCCGGACAGCCGGATGAAGGATGAACAGAGGGGAGATGATGGATGGAAACCGGGACCAACAAAACATGGGATGGCGGGACCAACAAAACATGGGGATTGGGACGGTGTACTCACCAGATCCAAGAAAGAGATTGACATTTCATCCGATTCGATCTCACCATGACCGAGGAAAGTTTGGTTCATTCTCGAGACGACGTACTGAGGTGAGTGAAAAGCTCGTTTGATTTTGGGTTGAGGGAACGAGCACAAAGCACAAGGAGAGAATCTGGGGATGATAGACAGAAGGGTTTTCGACTTTCTCGGGATATGATAAGGCTCCACTACTCAAGAGATAGACAGATGAGTTTTTCGACTTTACCAAATGATGATGTGGGGAAAACCGAACCAAATGTTTTTTAAAAAAAAGACGAAGAAGAAACTCACTTGAAAAACCTTTTCGTACATCATCCTAGCCAAACCCGCCAACGTTTCCTGTAACTTGACCTGATCTTTCCTCATATACTCTCCTTTTGAAAGAGGCAATCATTCCAACATTTGCCTAAAACTCTGCGCGCCTCCACGAGGTTGACCCGCACTCGGGGGTCGGATGTGATCCAGATACCGGCTACACCTGATGGGTTCGATTCACAGTGCTATTGACCAGGTCACTTTTGTCCAAGAAGATGATCCCACTGGCTCAACGCAAATTCTGATACCTTCATAGCCGCCCTTGTTTCCGACGCTCGCCGTTCCAACATCTCCCGTTCAAAGTCAAGCTTATCCAACAGCCGGAGTTGCTTGGTGATCTGTATCGGAAGCGGTTTTCCACTATCATCACAAGCAATCATACCAACATCATTTGGAGTCTTCATGCCCATAGTAGAGAGTTTGACGCTAGTCCAGGCTCGCCAATGAGCCGGGGGTAGTCTACTGTCAGCTCATCCTGATACCATGTACCTTTCCCATGAATCCACCACGATCCGTA